GGCATTGACTGAGTTGAGGGACTAATTGACCATTAAGTACAGATGCCGTGCGTTTGTGTGGAGGGGCTGCGGCGCGCTCGTCGCGTGTGCGCTGTGGCGCTGTGGCTCACTAGAGCATTGAACTGAAGTTGAGGGACTAATAGCGATAGTACAGATGACGTGCGTTGTGTGAGGGCTGCGGCCGGGCTGGTCCAGGTGGCGCTGTGGCCGCTCGTGCTACTAGGTATTTGACTGAAGTTGAGGACTAATGACATAGTACAGAGAGTGCGTTGTGTGGCATGGGGCTGCGGCCGGGCTCGTCGCGGTGGCGCTGTGGGCGCTCGTGGGCTCACTAGGCATTGATGAAGTTTGAGGATAATGGACCATAGTACAATGACGTGCTTGTTGGATAGGGTGCGGCGCGCTGGTCCCGGTGCGCTGTGGGCGCTGGTGGCTTCACTAGAGCATTACTGAAAGTTGAGGGAACTAATGACATAGTACAGATGACGTGCGTTGTGTGCAGGGCTGCGGCCGCGCTGGGTCGCGGTGGCGCTGTGGGGCTTGGTGGCTCCGCCACGCCTCCAGCGCCCACGCTTGATACACGTGGGCAGCTTCGCCTTCGCTTCGACACGACCACCGCCAGGAGATTCAGCCGCGCGCGATACGCGCCGCAGAAACTCCACGCCTTCGAGACGTGACGCTCGACCGGTAAGGCTTGACTCCTTTTCTGCTCCTCTGAGGATAGTGACTGTTTCAATTTAGTCTGAACGTCTAGCAATAGTTATCTCCAAGCGTAGCGAGCCTATTGATGTCATAACCACAGTTTCAGTATCTAGTCGTTTAAGTTGTATTTTCTGTAAGTGCAAAAGTTTTTGCAAGGGCCCAAGAAGTTTATGTTAAGGTTATCAGCGCCCGCGCCGACTACGCGCCGCAGAACTCCACGCCCTTCGACGTGGACGTCGACCGTAAGGGTTTGATCCCTTTCTCTCCCTCTGAGGATAGTGGACTGTTTCAATTTAGTCTGAACGTCTAGCAATAGTTAATCTCACACGTAGCGAGCCTATGATGTCCTAACGCACAGTTGAGTATCTAGTCGTTTAAGTTGTATTTTCTGTAAGTGCAAAGTTTTTGCAAGGGCCCAAGAAGTTATGTTTAAGGTTTGTGTCAGATGTGAGAACGTACGTAGATGCGAACTTCGTAGGCCGAGAGTTCGAGGAAGTTGGCGTTTTTTTCGGTATCGAAGCTGAATATTTCCGTCGAAGCTCACAACCCGCATTCTAGAGACTGCCTTCTCTACGTCTCCCGTGGTCTGGTCCACCCCAGAGGGGTTCCAAAACAGTTTAAACGCAGGATAGCTTTTCCTACAATCCCAACTCCCACCTGTAGGGCTGGAGAACTCCCACCCTCAAACCTATCGCTCGTCTAACATCTAGCAGTGAAAGGCGGGGCAGCTCTCGAGTCACTACAGCGGGCCATTGCGAGCTCTCGATTCTGAATTGATCATTTGATCAGCCTTGTTCTACAATATATTAGATTGGCAACGCGTCACTTCGCTTACTGTGGCGTTGAAGATAGCTCACAAATAAAACTTAAGAGAATCTTATTTATTATTATATTTAGGTGTTATTTGCTTTGATATGAGATAACATTTTTGAGACTGATGTGCCATTACATAAACAACTATTTGAACACAAATACAATGGTTCTTTAAATTTCAATAAAAATTTATATTTCATACGATGGAAATATATAATGATACAAACTTATTTATTATCGTATTATAAACTTATCGTATTAAGCAGCTATTTCATTAAATGTTTGCAAATATCCATGATGCCGAACCATGAGATATAGCGTACGTTCATTAAGTTTCTTTAGGCAAAACAAAAAAAAACACATTTATACTGAAAATCTTTATCTAATTCTTGCAGCAACTATTTTACTTCACAATCAACACTAGAACTAATACATTTGTCATATTGTGGGATCAAAATTTCTATTTATGTATCGGTGAAGCCTGCAACCTGGAATAAATACTAGTGCTTGATAGCCACTATGTGTCTCTGATCTGCTTAATGCTGAATAGACAAGAATTTCTGAAAATATAAGAAACCCGAGATGCTCAGTGCAGGTTTTATCTTCCTGCAGAATAAGGCTCGGCTTCACATGGCTCGATTAACAACAGATCTTCTGCATCAGTTTCACTGGAAGAATTCGACCATTAACCATGTAGTCTGGATATACCTCTTAGCGATTTCCACGTTTTATTACACTTGAGATTTCTGTCCATATCACAGTGTTTTAGCTGGCTGACAGTCACTGGTACCTGTCCCAGGCGGGAGACTTCTACGATACAGAGATACAAATGTTGAACCCACGGTTGGCATATGTGCAGGTCAGTGAAGGTGTTGATTATATGAAAAAAATAATAGAATTTACTGTAACTGCTGCAGTAAAGCTTTTTACAGAATTTGTGTTTCCTTTTTGTTGACGACCTCAGAAAACTTACTTGGAAAGAAGTCTCAGACAAACATACAGAGCATTTCGATTACATATTATAACAAAAATGTAAACTGCGCTTTGCTTTTGTGCCGTGCGAAGGGAAGACTGGTCGCTGCTTCCTCTCGTTCCCCTCCATCCTGCCAGGAGCGCTAGTGTCGCTCGCCACCGTCAAGGACAAGCACCAGCGCGATTCCCCACAGCTGGCGCCCTACCCCGACTGGAGCTGGCACGATGGCCAGAGGGGTTGCGACGGAATGACGTCGGTCTTCCGCATTTATGTAAGTACATTACACTGCCACACACGTAGGTGGACTAATAGAATTTGCCCCGCTGGTGGGAGATGCCTGGTGGAGGAGAACCCGCTAGCCGACAAGTCGGCGCCAGATATTACCACCCAGCGGGTAAAGATCACCTTCCCTTCCTAAAAAACATGCACTACACTACCACTCATGTCGAGAGACCAGTCGGGAGCTTAGAGCTGGTGTTGGCTGAGGCGGTGCCCCACAGGTGGGAGATGTTTGTTTGGCCGCAGCTATCCAAACTGAAGGCCAGCGCAGGATCTCGCCATCCAGGGAGAGGAGAAAACCACCCAGGAAAGGAGATAAACTTTCACAGACTGCGATAAAGACATGGACTACATTTATTGCGATAGACATGTTCTAACGACTATGGTTGTTGACGCGCCTAGAAACATGACATAGTCAATCAGAAGGATAGGCAAAACGTTCCATGTTTTGTTCCAGTGAGATGCTAATTTCACTTTTAAAACAATTGTTTAAAATATGCAATTGTTTGACTATGGTGATTTTTTACTGAAACTGAGATATTATTGGCAATTCTATTACATTTATTACATTTTTTGCGAAGGGGTGGGTCGGATCTTCAAGGTTAGTTCATATTTAGACATTTTAATTGAGCCCGCCAGGGTAGCCACTGCAGTAGGTTTTAGCATATATATATATATATATATATATATATATATATATATATATATATATATAAAATTTGGATTTCGAGTTTAATTTACAATTTTTGTGAACGTATGGAGGGATTACGGAAGAACAGGAATCATGTGAAAAACATCAGGAGAACAAGTGAGGCAACATGTAGGGTACCTTGGGGAGGAACGTGCAGAGGAATATCGGAGAGCCGTGCATTGAACTTGTGGGGGATGAGAGAATGATATGTGGGAAACATGCGTGGAGCCAGCGAGAAAGATACATGTAAGTGCGTGTAACATATGGGAATTGGTGGAGCACGAAGGTTATTTGAGTCGTGTTCTTTGATATGAAACCGTTTCGAACCTTCTGTTAGATGTTTATCTCTTCAAGGAATCTCGAATTCGCCGCATAGGTGGTAGAGAAAAGAAATAAGTAAAATATCGAAGAATGTTTGATATTCCATGCAATTTAAAATCACGAACAGAATACTTTTTGCTTGTTAAGAACATCTTGGCAATGGTAGCGTGGTTGCTCACACACAGTTGGTGGTATATACTATTGCATTTCAGTTCGTGATATGCTGACAATATGTTGCAGAATAAAACCATTTTCAGTTTTAAAATACGGTTAATAGAGTGAGGAGTTTTCCGACAGGTTTAACTAGTTTTATGTTTTATCGATTTTTTTGCCATTTCAATAAAAACTAAATATTAAATTGTATTATAAATCAATTTCAAAAATAACTGAGAGACACCCATATAATGGCCTAAACATCTATGGTATCTAAATAACAATAATAAATTACTAAGTTTTATAATAATTATTGTTAGATATTTTGATGATCCAGAATTAAAGCAGCAGGGCTGTATTAACAATTAATAATAGTGCATATCGTATAACAATACGAATATCGTACACTCTTGG